CCGCGTCCTGTGTGCAGGAACCATTACCCGAACTCGCAGCACTGTCCCGTATTCTTCGTTTTCGACGTATTGGAAAAATGGCGTTGGGGCACGTGATATGGTCATCTGGAGCCATTTAGAGAGAGAGAGAGAGAGTTTCCAGCGTATATGGAAGAGTACGGAGAACGGTAGAGTAGAGTTACTAGAAGTAATAGATCGATATTTTTCCGATATATCTAAGATCGTCTCAAGTTTACCTTTAGATGAATCATTTCATTGGTTACCAAGTATCTAAAGATAAACGTTTCTGAAGAACCTAAAGGTGCCTTTATATGGGAGTATGGAGCATTGAGTGTTAAAGCGGTAGCCAATCAACGTGCCACTTTCCGCAAGAACTACAAAGACTACAAGACTAAAACTACAAGAACTACAAGTATACTTCTGGAACCTGATACATTGATTGACTAACGCTTTAACGCTCGACGCGGAACGCTCCCATGTATTGGCAGCTTAAAACGTTTTCAACATAAGATCCGATTATGAATGAGTGCTTTCCATTTAATTACACAAGTCGACATTAGCATCATGCTGTCTCTGTTCCATATTCAATGGCTGCGTTTAGAAAACATAGCTGATCAGTGAGCGGTCAGTGACTAATGGCTCCTGCACACAGGACGCGGTAATGTTTGCCGCGCAGCGGAAGTCCGCGCGACAGCCAATCAATATGCTGCTTTCCGTAATAACCTTCTAGCTCTTACAGAAAAACAACATATATGCCGGTATTCATAGTTGGGTTTTATTTTTAAGACTGTCTTAAGTTCATTTTCAGATACTCCGTAACCAATGAAATGATCCGTTCATCATCTGAAGATAAACTTAAGACGGTCTTAAATATAAGATCTGACTATGAATACCGGCCATTGATTGGTTGTCGCGCGGACTTCCGCCGCACAGCAAACATTACCGCGTCCTGTGTGCAGGAGCCATTAGAGTTAGTTCCACTAGGGCCGAAAATTATGATAGATGCGATCATCTAGTACTTTTGTAGTTTATGACAACTTTTTCTAACTCAATGGGTAAGTTCGGGGAGCACGCGAGTGAGTCCCAGATGTGCACATTGACAAACGGACACATCCAATCATATGTCGTTGTTTATAGAGTCTCTAGAATACGTCTCTAATCATACGGCGTTGTGGTTGACTGTGTCCGTTTGTCAATGTGCGCATCTGGGACGCTCCCGAGCACGCTACTAACGCTACCGCGTTCTTCTATCTTTATTGCGTCTTAGATATATAACAAGGATAGAATGATGCGATAGCACTGAAAAGCGCAAATAGCGAGCTCCCCGAACGCACCCAATGCCTTACCATAGGAACAAGCTGGAGTAAGAAGTAAAAGGTTTGTTCTTTCGACCTGAACTGGCTGCACTAGTTCACGAAGTTTGCACTAATGCGTTCTTTCGATCAGAACAGTGCAAGAAAATGTGTTCTTTCGAACAGTGCAGGCTGAACTAGTGCAGCGAGTTCAGTGAACTGACTGCCCTAGGTCTGGAGGTAGAGCAAGCAGTGCAGGGCAGCTAACCGAAAAAATTTAAATTTGTATCTATAACCTGTAAAATCGGAATACCTAGTTGACATTACGTAGAAGAAATAATCCGACGACGGAATCTATAAACAGTAAGTAAATACTTAAATATATAATAAATATATAATGTAGATAAATATATAATAAATATATAATGTAGAATGACATAAAAGAAGTATTTAGAATGTTATCCAAACAGCACAAAATATCCGAAAGACATCCTGGGAAGGCTCTTGGACGTTTTTTCGGAGGGATTTGTTGTATGGGTATCCAACACAAAACAGTTTTTAAAAGAAATAGGATTGTTCAACAAAACATAAAATGCTATAAGTGCGAAAACATGACCATAAATTGATCTATGTTATTTAATCCAGCCATGTTGTCCGCCATCTTACACTGCTCTAACTTGCTCTTACCCGTTCTTTTCAGACCCATATGTATCTTTGCACTGGTCTGCACTATCTTGAACTTTCTTCAACTAGTACAGTTCCAGTGCAGCCCTAGGTCAGGTCAAACCTAATGAACGCGCTAGGAAAGAACAAACCTAATGAACGCGCATTCAACATCAGGAAGCTTATTACAGTTCTGTGTGAGAAGTACGTGTAGATGTACAACTTTGCTTCCGCTGTTTTCCTATAGATGACTTTAGCGGTAAGTGGTGGTCCAAATAAATAGATCATAGAGGTCATACAATAAACTTGGGCATCTGTCAACATAACCCCATAGAAACATTAGTCGATTTGTGTCTGCATCATAAAGTTATTCTCGATTGAAAATGTCAGTTTACGAACCAAATTCTCGTCATTTGCGGGAGGTTTTAATTTTCTGCTTCAATATGAAGAAATCTGCGGCTGAGGCTTATCGAATGCCCTCAAATACTTATGGTGAGGCCGCTATTAGTGAAAGAACGTGTCGTGAGTGATTTCAACGCTTCAAGAGCGGTGATTTTGACGTCGAAGACCGGCATAGCGGTGGAAGAGAGAAGGTTTTCGAAGATGCAGAATTGGAGGCATTACTTGATCAAGACTCGTGTCAAAATCAAGAAGAATTGGCACGATCATTGGGAGTGACTCAACAAGCCATTTCAAAACGCCTCAAAGCCATGGGAATGATTCAGAAGCAAGGAAATTGGGTGCCGTACGAATTGAAGCCGAGAGATGTTGAACGGCGTTTGTTTGCTTGTGAACAGCTGCTTGAAAGGCAAAGACAAACCTTCTCTCTTCCACCGCTATGCCGGTCTTCGACGGAAGGGATTTCTGCATTGCATTGTGACTGGGGGCAAAAAATGGGTTCATTACGATAACCCCAAACGCAGAAAATCATGGGGAGTTCCCGGTCATGCTTCTACGTCGACGGCCAAATCGAATATTCACGGCTCCAAGGTCATGCTCTGTATTTGGTGG